GGGTAGTAATCCCTAACACACTCCAAAAAAGAATACTGAAAGACTTTCATGCTGGTCACCCGTGTATAAATAGGATGAAGAGCCTCATGAGAGCATACGTCTACTGGCCAGGTATGGACAATGACATCGCATCTATGGTCGGCAGATGTAAAGGCTGCATCCTGGCAGCAAAATCACCACAAATTTTACAGAAGCCATGGCCAGAAACCGACAGGCCATCGTCAAGGATTCACATTGATTTTGCGGGTCTAGTTGCCGGATGGCATTATTGAGTCTTAGTCGACAGCTTTAGTAAATGGCCCGAAGTTTTTTCAAATGAAGAGGCCAACATCTCAAAATACAATAAACAAATTACATGAATTATTTGCAAGGTTTGGGGTGGTAGATACCGTTGTTAGTGACAAAGGCACCCAATTCACAAGCAAAGAATTCACAGAATTCTGCCAAAATTTCCAAGTTGATCACGTGAGGATTCCTCCGTATCACCCACGCATCAACGGACTAGCCGAAAGGTTCGGTGATACGTTGAAAAGAGCTCTTAGGAAAGCAACAGGTACCCCGACTAGAAAGGCGTTTCAGTTCTTCCTGCAAGTGTACCGAATTACCCCGAATAAATCTGCCCCATCAAGCCTATCACCTGCGGAACTAATGTTCGCAAGAAAGGTCAGATCGGCTTTTGACAAATTGATACCAGAAAATAAGATACACTCAACAGTCGCTATGGTTCCCAGGCGAAAATTTAACATAAATGAAAAAGTTTTTTTCAAAAATTATAAAAATAATGCAACATCATGGGAACCAGGGGTCGTAAAAAAGCGCATTGGGGATATGGTATACATTATACAAGGAAACAAATTTACACACAAACGGCACATTAACCAGTTGAAGAAAAGAAAGACCGATGAATCGGAAGTAACTCCACAAGAAGACGAATTACACGAATTGTTTGATACGTTTGACCTGCAAATACCGCAGACTGAGCAGAAACAACGCAGATTTGCAAGAAAACGTAAAGCGACACAAAATTTAATAATAGACCCGAAAAGGAAAAAAATATTAATTTTTTTTTCTCACAATGTAAAAAGAGAAGAAAAAAACAATTTTAGGGGGGGGCGGTGTTGGGGCGCACCCACCTTCTAACTAGAAATGGACTGGTCCCTCTTATATAAGTCAGCTCTAGAGAGAGGACGGGAGAGCGAGAGACAGAGCGTCAGCAGTCCAGATAAGCTTACCCGTTACATACCGTTGGACTATAGACTTTGGATATTGTTTCGTACTAACCAACCTTCGTTCTACTAATCACTATATTGTTAATTGCTTTTACAAATATACCAGTATTTTCCTCTACAACTGTGTTTGTCTTGATTCATACACTGACAGGCGGGAAACTCACAACATCTCAACAAGTCGCCAATTAGATGTAACAAAATAATCAAAATAGACATGAGTCATACAGATCGTAGTGGTTCCCCAGGCATATAACGATTTCGGATTCCTCATGTTACGAAGGGAGAAATTATATGTCATTTTTGTATTATTCATGACAGTAGCATATTTAATTCTTCATAAAAGAAATGTACATGAATATTTATCTAAAATGAATATATTTCAAAATAGAGAATGGATATTTAGACTAATTATATCCAGAATATTGTCATCATATTTATTGTTTTTATCATAATATTTCGGCCATTATACCTCCACGGCCTTCCTCTAGTGTCTATTTATTACTTGATATTCCTCAAATCCTTTCAGTTTTAATAAATATTACAAATAATTGCATTCTGTTGAGGATCACTCTGCACTCGATGAATATATATATATATATATATATATATATATATATATATAAGAAATGGACAAGGTCCGACAATTTATTTATTAAAGACATTTTTATGTTTAACGTTGTTATTTTATAGATACAAGTATTTAAGCAAATGCTCTGTTTATGATAAACAGTATTAAATAACATTTACCGGCCTGAATGTCCGAGAAATTTTCATAGAAAATATTCGTTCTTTGACAGGATTCGAACCTGCATCCTATACGGAACCGTCATATACGCTGACGTGCCTTACCTCTTTAATAAATATATATATAAGTAAACCAGTAGAAAAAAAGCAACTGTTGACTGGTTCCACAGCAGAAATATAAAGTAAAACTGCCAATTCCTACATTAAGTTATAAAAAGATTACCCTCTCTAACAGAACGCATGCAATTTAAGGCCATCAACTTGAAAACTTTTACACTATAATGGGTAGCTTTGATGGTGCTTCTGCGTATTCATAGGTATATATTTACTACACGAACTAATGAATAATAGATAGAAATGACATATGACTCTACAGGGACGAGGGTCTCATAATCTCAAGGAACTCTTACTATCACAACACAGACAAAACTAGAAAAGATACAGATTTTAAAAAATAACGGATTCGACCTGAATATAAAAACTGACCCAAACGGAATAGAATTTCTAAATGTTACCATCAACCCAAGAAAAGGCACATATAAATCATACAGAAAACCCAATGATAAACTATTTTATATACAGACATCTTTCACCCACCCACCTGCTATAATAAAACAGATATGAAAATCGATTTACCGCAGGCTTTCCGACATTTCCTCCAAAGAATCCATATGCAACAAAATCTAAAAAAGTTTACGAAACAGCCCTAAAACATAGCGGATTCCCAGCAACACACACATACTCACCACAAAAACAAATAAGGCCAAAAAGAAAAGAAATGCCATATGGTTCAACTCACCCTACTGCAAAAGCGTAAAAACAAACGTAGGAAAAATATTCTTCAATCTCTTTCACAAACACCTTCCGGAATCAAGCATCATAGACAAAATATTCAAAATTAAATCAGCTAGAGTTGTACCGAGAACATGACACTAATATTAAAAAAGCACAATGTGAAAATTATCAACAAACCACACGAAAAAATTAAACCCACCTGTAACTGCAGAATAAAGAACGAATGTCCTTTAAACGGTAATTGTTTACAAAAAAACGTAATATACCAAGCCACGATAAAATTATCAGATAATGAAGAAATTTATACATAGGAGTATCTGAAGAACCCTGGAAACAAGAAAGTAGGCGCACAAAACATCTTTCACAAATGGTAAATATGCGAATAACACAATGCTTACTAAGTATACCTGGGAAGTTCAAAACAAAACGCACATTACACCAAAAATATCTTGGAAATTAAGGAAAAGATAATCAGCCTACAACAACCACTCAAAAACTTCAAACGTTGCTTGGAGACAAAAATTAGCAATCATTAACTAAGACTAAAATAAATTATTAAATAAAAAATCCGAGCTCATCTGAAAATGCAGACATGAAAACAAATTCTTACTACGTTACGTAAAAATCGAAAACTGAAAAAATAATATAAAATAAATAAACAAAATGACAATAAAATAAGCCAAATAAATTACCGAAACAAATTACCAAATCACATCCGTTAGAATAGACGAAATAGAATAAATAAATAAAAAATAAATAAAAATTAATGAACCCAAAGAAATAAAGAAATTATTAAACAAATTAATAAACCCTTATTGCCAAAATATTAGTTAGACAATAAAAATCGAAAAAAAACGAACAAAAAATAGCTATAACTGTTAACGATAAAACGTGTTAACGTGTATGTGTGTCTATGTGTTTGCTAGCGAGACGGAAATGATGCCCCATGTACGCCGGGTCCAAATACTTTCAGTCAAATTAACTCAGATCATAATAACTCCCTTTGTTAGAATAAGTGATTCTCCTGTTTCTGGTGTCATATAATCAAAGAATCTTCCTGATCATGCCTCCATAATATCAATTTTTTGTAGCTGTAAATAATTATTTATATTTTACCATCAATATTTGTCCTACAATACACATGAAGTAATTTTCTCGCAGTATCCTCAGCTCAGCTTTTCTTCATAATATCGTTTTAGTGTTGGCTTCATTCTATATCTCAGACATTCCTGTTAACTAATTCTCATCGTTAGTATCTCTTTCCTTGTAGTTCTTATTTTATATAAAACTTTCACATTTTTTATATACTATCTGTGTTATTCTTAACATTACTTGGTAGGGAAATTTCCCTTAAGTAATGTTTTCATTTCTGGGAAGATTTCCACTATTCATTGATGGCTTATATTAGTATTAGCCATTTTGCTACAAGGAAACATTTGGCATTCATTGACTGAACAGCCATTACTGCTTTCGATGGAAATGTATAACATTTTACTATTAAAATAGTTTATTTTAGGAAAACCGCATTCACAAATCCAGTAGGTTGTATCGCAATTTCTAGTATTGATGGGTGTGTCTTTCGTAAACTATTATTTTTTTGTGGAATGTTAAGAGCTTTTGCCATTATTTACTCTTAGTTACATGTGATATTCCTCTTGGATATGGTATGAGAAATTAGAAACAAGAAACTGTTAAGGACAATAATCTCTCTTAATACTGTATTGCTTACGTTCATATCAGTTTAAAACACTGATTCTTGTACGATTACCAAATTTAAGCCAGGTTCACTATGGGCAGTGCCTAAAGGGTGGAAGTTTGAGAATTATCAAGTAATATAAATATGGATGTGCGGGTGGTGAAATAGCTAACGACCCGTTGTTTTTTAACAGGAGAAATGAGTTCCAAATTTAATCGAATCTCTTTTTTTCCTTTACGCGCATATACCATTAAAATGTATGAATCTGCCTCTAGTCACCCCAGCTATGGGTTAATTACAACCAACTGTATCAGTAGATCATTATTGTCACTAAAAAAGTCTCATAAAATAAAATATTATCTGTATTTAAATAATATGCAAATGGTTCACAAGCCGTAAAAACAAATAATTGTGTCGATTTATCAAATACATTTTTCGCTATTCTCATTGTTTTTCGATTTGCGTATTTTCCTGTTAATACATTAGCCGAATAAAACAATTCTTGCGTCTAGTTGATATTGACTTCCCCAATAAAAATGTTTCTTCTTTCCTTACCTCTTTTGCACACAACCATTCATTCTTTTCTTTTTTTTTCCTTCAAACTAGACGTATGATGTTACTATAATACTTTGGATAATGGCTCTTGAAGGTTCCTTCCATCATCATTGTCATTCGTGTCAAAACACATAACTAGTGTTGAGGGATTATGTCAGCGAAAGGATGAATATGTCATCATTCAATGGCTAAAAGCTATCTTGTTAAACAAATCACTATCATTACAGCAGAAAAGTATTCATCAATTCCTGTACTCATAAGAACATGCCTTTGCTTCCTTCAATTCATATTTAGACTGCCGCTGATGTACCGAAAATGAGTAAAAACAGTAGTTTTGTTGGATATTTACAATCACTCCCATCATTTGTACCATTTCAGATCGTAGACATTTCTTTTCTGGAGATCCTTGTATGCTTTCAAAAGCTAAGCAACTATTTGAGAAACAGGAAACATTCGTTTGAAACAAAGAAAAGAGTATTGAAATATTACGTCCTCCAATATGGCAGTGAATGCTGGACAATCTCATCAAAGATGAAGAGACTTGAAGCAAAAGACATTTACTTCTACAGAAAGATGCTGAGAATAATATGAAATTAACATGGGAGAAAAAACGATGATTAAGAAAAAATAGAAAACAAATGGGCACTTGAACTTGCATCAAGAAGAGACAGCTAAAAAATTCTGGGGCGCATAACGAGGAAACTTTGTTCGCTAAAATTTTATATTCACATGATATGTTGAAGTGAAGAGGGAAAGAGGAAAAAACCCCATAAACTTCTTAGTGATCATTGTAGAATATTAGTTAGCTTGCCAGTGGTATGACACACAAGTAGGATAGTGTAACCAAAGCTAAAACTGACTTGTCATTTCATGGAGAAATATATAGGTGAATAAAGACCACTAATGCAAATGTATTGGGCAGGTCCATTCTAGCAAAATGGACCAACCTAACTGGTATATTAGGCACTCTCCTATAAATTGAGGTAAAATCAGCTGGCTAGCTGTACAAGGAAACAGAAGTTTTTACTCCTTTTTTCTTGTCTGACCGTGTTAGACGTTTATTCTGTCTCTCAGAGGATTTTTATTTTGAAATTTTGACTGCCTTAATTTAGCTAAGTTTTTCTAACGTTGCTTTTTTGACTTTTTGTTAAATTTTTCATTTTTCTAACGTACCTTTTTTGACTATTGTTTTTGATTTTTTCCGTTTCAATTCCTTACCCTCTTTTTTACCGTTACTTCATTTTTGCTATTAGTTATTCCTTTTTTTTATTTTTTTATTTTCTTTTACGTTTTATTTTTTCTTTTTAAATCTATTTTTTTCCGGTGCCCACACCCCGGAGTTTATCTGTTTATTTTTCGTCTTTAAGTTTCTCGTCCGACATTTTTTTTCCCCTTTATTTATTTATTTATTTATTACGTGTTAATTATTTCTGTGTTTTTCTTTTAAATATCCGTATAAATTCTGCGTTTTATCTGTTAATTACGTGCGTATAATATTTGTTTTTTAAACTTTGTGTTTAATTTGTAATTCCATCCTTTTTTTTTCATTAATTAACGTTTTTGTTGTTGGGTTGACCGTTTTTTATCGGCAGCCATATTGTAAATTGTCACATTTTTAGTTTCGTGTTTTATTTTGTATAGCGTTTTATTTTTTTTCTTATTTTTCCGTTTATAACTTTTCGTTTTATTGTGTAATTTGTTGCTTTCTTGTCTGTTGTCCTTTTAATTTTTGTTCTTTCTTCGTTTTTCTGAACCTTGTTCAGTTTTTCTCGTCTGTCCATTTGTTTTGCGTTTTCGTTTTTTTTAAATTTTTTTTCCTTTAGAAGAAACTTGTTTCTTTTTTCGTATTTTTAATTTTTTTATACCTCCTTCTGTTTTACTTTCGTCTGTCGATCTTTGTTTGCTAGTTAAATTTGGTGTCTCGCTGGTAAGCGAAACTTTATTTTTTACCCTCCTTTTACCCCCTCCCTTCATTTTTTTCTCGAACTTTTGTGTGGCCTTTGTTTGTGTATTTTTGCGAGCCCTTGCTTGTTTTTCGTATTTATTAATATTTCGCTCGTGAACTTTGTTAACATTATTTTTGTCTATTTTGTTATTTTTGCCTATGGGCGACAATTATTAATTCACCACCCTTCCCCTTCCTTGTAAAAAAAAGAAAAAAAAAAGAACTCCGTCCTTTTTAATGAAAAAAAAAAAGAAACCATTAATGACCAATCTTAAAAAATCGATCAAAAAACATATATTCTCAATTAAAAATGTCCCGTCTGATAAAGATAACATAGAAGAATATCCAGAGTTATCGAGGATTCCGACAAATGAAGAAATTGTAGAGGCTTTAAAAAAAGCTTCTAAATCTTCGGTGGACGAAAAGAGCCACAATGTAGATACCAGAAACAGCTCAAGTGAAAATGCAGAGGCCGGGGAATCGCCCTCTTGTTGGAAGTCCCCACCAAAAGTTGTGATCAATATAGCGGAGTTCATGGAGCGATCCAGGAGTTACGCTCACCTTGTCGTAGAAGGTGGACTCTTGGAGTACCCCGTTGAACTGAAGAAGATTGATAAAAGAATAGTGTCGGCCTTTGTCGTCGACAAGCGAATGCGCAAAATTTGTCGTTCGACTAAAGACACAGTGGGGAAATCCCTGCAGTCCCTGGAGTTTAGCCCTCTAAGAATCGTTAAGGGTGCTAAATTCTTCATGTGGGACGTATTGCTGCCCACCCCAGAAGATTGTGTAAGGGCCTCAACATGAGACCTTATAAACGAAGGACCTCATCTTGAGGACTGAATACGAAGGCAAAAGAAGGACAAGCGTGGCAATATATGAGGTCCCACCCCAAGTTATCGGGAAACACCTGGCAGCATTCTTGTCGCAATATGGCGACATACTAGGTGCTTCCTGCGATGGCTTGATCGGGGGATGGAGTTTTGAGATTATGTTGAATGAAAAGGCCTTCCGCTCCATCCCCAACACTCTGAATGTCGGATGCCTGAAGCTGCCGGTCATTTTGACCGGACGCAAACCGGTATGTTAGAAGTGCGGAGAGACATGTCACCTCTCCTCTTCCTGCCCAGAGAAGAAGGCCTCTGGAAGTCAGGCTCCGGTTGACCAAAATATTCCTCTGACCGCGTCTTTAGATTCCGCCACGCCTGTAATGGGCATGCCAGCTTCCAGGACCGATGGGGTAAATCCTCCGGTCGGGTCTACATCAAAGCCCCCATTCCCCAAAGAGCTTTTTCCTGCTGCTAGTGCAGTTGTGGAGCCTTGTGGAGAGGGGGAATGGCAGGTTGCTGGCAGGGTTAGAGGGAAGCGTCAGACAGCGGGTCCTTAGTTCCCTGAAGACCCTGGGACAAATGACACTGACAGTCCCACTCCCTCTGTCAACAGTAAGGGCGACGCCCCGGTCTTTGGATCTACCCTAAGAGATCTACAGAAAAAGTATGATCCGGGATTTGAAAAAACAGAGGAGATCACATTGCTGAAAGAAAAACTGGATAATCAAAAATCATCCTCTTCATTTAAAAAGGACACTATTGCAGCACCTTCTGCCCAAAATACCCCGCATCCGTCAACCCCTCTCAATAGAGAACCCAGTCCTAAAAAGACCTCTCCTGTGAAAAAGGCAACTCCCTCTACATCTTCTGCCAATCAATCCCCACACCCTTCAACCCCTCTCAGTAGAGAACCCAGTCCTAAAAAGACCTCCCCTTCGAAAAAGGCAACTCTCTCTACATCTTCTGCCAATCAATCCACACACCCTTCAACTCCAAGTAGAGAACCCAGTCCTAAAAAGACCTCCCCAGTGAAAAAGGCCACTCTCTCTACATCATTTACCCAACAACCCCCACACCTTTCAATCCCTCTCAGTAGAGAACCCAGTCCCAAAAAGACCTCTCCAATGGAAAAAACACTCCCTCCACACCTTCCGCCCAATATTCTCAACAGGCAAAATCTGACCATCTCTCTACGCCTCTAAGTAGAGACCCTAGCCCTTTAAGGCAAAGCTCATGCCAAACTTCCCCCACTAAAACAACTGATATGCCCCCACCTACCAACAAAAGGCAAAGGAGTCCCACACACGACTCTAAGGAAAAAAAGAAAAAAACATAAATAAATTTTCAACTCGGGAGAGGAGGTATGTCGCATTTCCCCTGCCCAAGCTGAAAAATCTCGAGACTATAGAAATAGGATACAAAATCTGAAGTATCTCCTCTCCATAAAACAATTCGGTGACAAAGACATTGAAGACCCGAAAAACTTCCCAGAAGCACAAAGAGTGTTGACTATGATAAGAACTGGGATGGGGGCTAGACTCGTTTGGGCTAGGCTCGACGAGGCAATTACCTCTTTCAAAATGTCCCCTCCCATTGCTATAGTCGAAAACGACAAATTGAAGAAACTGAAACAATTTTGTGCTGGGAGGGTCCCTGTTTTTGTTCACCCCCCCCCTATATAGAGCACTAAAATTGACCTTTCCATGGGATATAGGCGGTCTCTCGCAAGACGGCTCCATCAACAATGAGATGGGCCGCGGGTCAATGGGAGAGGCTGTCGGTATACTTACCCCGACCATGTTCAAATCAGTGTCCCAACCCTAATTAGGTCTCATAATGGCTCTCTGGTTAGCAACTTTGAATGTCGCGATCTTCAGCGCCTCGGGGTGGATGTATGTTGTGTACAGGAGACCCGTTTTTTATCTCGCGATCATGAGGACATTCTGTCTAAGAGGTTTGTCCTCTATTCAGCATGTTTTGATGGACACTCGAGGGGTGTTTCCTGGCTGGTGAGCAAGTCTCTGGACGCGGTGTGTGCTCTTGTGTTTGCGAATCCGGTGGGCAGGCTTTGCGTGCTGGATATTACCATAAAGGATAAGGCTTTTCGTCTCATTGGGGTTTATGCGCCCAATGACCATGCGCAGCGGCCTGGTTTGTTTCGGAGGATCGAGCCGTTTTTGATGACTTCTCGTTCGATAGTTCTAGCGGGTGATTGGAATGCCGTCCTTGATCCCGATATAGATCGTATAGGGCAAAAACCGGGTACTAACAATCTGGATGTGAAATCGTTTCGGGGCTTTATCGATGGGTTTGTTCTCGTCGATAAGTACCGAAATGAGCACCCCAGGGAAGTAGCATGGACTAGGGGTGGCAGCTCGGATTCGGTGGTTAGCGCAAACTACATCGACCGAGTTCTAGTTAAGAGAGTCGAAGTAGGGCTCTTAGAATGTCCAAGTTTCCATTTTATAGTTTACTCGGATCATAGGCTTGTCCGGGTTCGGCTAAACTTAGATAAGCCTAGGGTTAAGATGGCTGGTTACTGGAAATTAAACTTATCATTATTTGGTGAGCAAGATTTCCGGGTCCAGCTTTTACTAATGTTACAGCGGGAATTGTCGGGGGCTGTCGTTGGGAATAAGTGGTGGGGCTCTTTGAAATCCAAACTTAGGTCTTTGGCTGCTGATTTTAGTCGAGGACTCAATCTAGCAGGGCTAGTAGCGCAAAAGTCTCTTGAGGCCAAAGTAGATCGGGCGATAAAATCCCGTGATAGTGGGGACATAGCCTTAGCTAAGGCGGAGCTGGCGTCCTTGCTTATCAAGAAGGACCAAGCTCTAGTAGTTAGGGCTAGGATAAAAAGAATGTCTTTTGAGGCTACGAATGTGGCCACTTCATTGCGTTCAGAGGAAGATCGTAGGGGATCTAGTCGGCGTATTGCAAGCATCACATTGCCGGACAAGCGAACTGTGACTACAGACGCGGGCATTCGCGAGGCTTTTCGTGATTACTTTCGGGAGCTTTTGATCAGGGAGTCCGGTCTGAGCCCTGCTCAGTTCGATGCCTATTTAGCCAACTTTTCCCGCCTTGAGGCGTCTGAAGCGGCTAGGTGCGAGGGTCCCATAACAGAGTCTGAGATCTGGGATGCGCTGAAGCAGGTTGGCCTGGACAAGACTCCGGGATTAGATGATCTTCCCTATGCAATGTACTTGAGGCAGTCGCCCGTTTTTGTCCCCTTGCTGGCACTGATTTTCAACAACTGGATGAGGCAGGGGTCTATTCCTCAACGCTTCACTAGGGGTGTGATCAAGTTGCTTCGCAAGAAGAAAGACGGTGGGGATGGGGTAAATAATTATCGGCCTTTGACGATGTTAAATACCGAGTTGAAGATTTTAGCCAAGGTCTTAGCTGACCATTTGCAGGTTGCCCTCTCTAGTCTGATTGGTCTTGAGCAGTCTTGTGCTGTGAAGGGCAGGACTATTCAGGACAACCTTCATTTGGTACGCTTGATCATCGAGAAAGTCGACAGTGATGCCGCGCTGATCAATTTAGATCAGTCCAAGGCTTTCGATAGGGTTGACCATTGGTTTCTGGAAGCTGTCCTTTCGGCCGCTGGTTTCGGGCCGCACTTTCGCACTTGGATCCGACTGCTGTATGCGTCCTCCGGTGCGCTGGTAGAAGTGAATGGGGTAAGATCGAAACCTTTCATTTTGTCTCGCTCCATTCGTCAAAGTTGTCCGCTGTTTCCATTGCTTTACGTTCTTGCGATGGAACCTTTACTGCGTAAGTTGAAGAAGAATCCAGTCCTTCGCAGAATTTCCTTACCTGGTGCTACCACCTCGGCCAGGTACTCCACCTATGCTGATGACGTTTCGGTTCTGGTGTCGAGTATGGCCGAAATTAACGAAGGCAAAGAAATCAAGGGTTATGAGATGGTGACAGGGGCCAAGATTAACCGCGATAAGTCTGTTGGCTTGCGGTTGGGTTCGTGGAAGGGAGTTTCTCTTCCCGGACCTTTCCACTGGACGGACGGGCCGGTCAAGATACTCGACGTCTGGTTCTGTCCCGACCTCCTGTTGGAAATAAATTGGTCGGAGGTGCAAGAGAAGGCCTTGCTCGCACTACGTCTGTGGACTCGGAGGAATCTTTCCTTGAAGGGGAGGGCGGAAGTATGTGCCTCGTACATCTACCTGATTCTCCTTTACCGACTCTCCGTGCTTCCACTCCCGTCTGACAATTTATTGGCCTTTGTAAGGCTCTTGTTCTCCTTCTTGTGGGGAGGCAAGGCCGCCATGGTTAGTCGCGAGATCTGTTACCTCCATCCTTCTGATGGCGGTCTGGGGGTGCCTTGCGTTGAGACTCGTCGACATATGCTTCCCATTACTTATCTAGACCGAATGTGTATGCAACTGGATGAGAACGGCGAATTCTGAAAGGAAGACGCCCATAAACATTTTCCATCCTTGATAAATGTGCGCTCGTGTGAGGAGGAGGCCGGTCGTACTCTTCGAGGCGAGGGCTCTTTCTATCGTGAATGTCGGGTTGCCCTCAAGCGACTCTTACGGGCGAAGGATGGCTTCTCCGACGTCCAGCCGTTGTCTCGTAAGGTATTATATCAGGTGTTAGTTAGGGGGAACGTTCAAGATGATCTGATAGGCGATCTCAGTCTGACGAAGCGGGAGGCTCGCTGCATATGGCCTTGGGCGCCCGGGTTGAAATGTCTCACTAACCCTGAGGCATCACTCACCTGGCTGGTGATTCGAGAGGCCCTCTGGGTCGCCAAAAGACTACGCGCAGCGGGTTTGGCTAAGTCGCCAAACTGCGTTCGCTGCAGTAAGGAGGTGGAGACCCTAGGTCACGCCTTCTTTCATTGTAGTGTCGTAGCTCCGTTGTACAAGTTTGTTGAAGATATCATGGTTCGCATGCTGCGCGGAAAGTTCTTTGTCCTCGAGGCCAGTTCCGTCTGTAGCAAAATAGTACCGCCGTTGACTAAGGCTGAGCACTATGTGTTCTTTTGCTTACTGGTGGTTATGCGAGTCGGGATATGGACGACGCGACAGAAGGAATTTCATGAGAACGAGAAGTTTAACTCTTCCCAACTGATCTTGTTTTTAAGCATCAGCTTAAAGTCAAGATCAGGACGGAAAGGAGACGACTCCATCCATTGGAATTTGGCAAAAGGTGGGTGAGTCTTGCGCGTCTCTGCAGAGTGAAAGGTGCTGACTTGGAGTTGCTTTTTGATGCCGGTTAGGCGTTAAGAATTTTGGGATCGCTGGGGGGAACATTGGCAACCCCTCCCGTCTATAGGTTAGTTTAGGTCGGTTTTGTTTTAGTTATCTTTTCTCTTTTTTTTCCTTGTTAACTTAGCTAGGGTGTGTATGCTCATTGGCCCCCTTTTATTTCTAGCCCTATTTTCTTCTTTTGTTTAATTCCCCATCCCTCCCATCGTTAGGTGGTTAGGGATATCAGTTCTCTGGTGGGTGCGTGTCGCCTTTCGTTTCGAGTGTGTCTTTCGTATTTGTTGTTGTGTTTGATTGAGTGTGTGTTTGTAACGAGTGCATGGATTGTGCGAATGTTTTATAATTTTTTAAGTCTCGCATTGATTTCGTCCAGTTAACCGATGTTACTGCCACAGTTAGGGCTGTGGGGGGTTTTACTACTAACAAAATTTTTGTTTAGTTTCTTGTATATAGATTTGTAGTAAATTGTAAATATTCATTGGGGTTTTTAGATGTTATTTTATTTCCCCTCCCCCACAGACAATGATTTGTATATATGGGGACTAGTTAGAACCTCATAGAGTCTCTGAGGCATTTTGGTGGATGCAGGAAGAATGGTATGTAATGGATGTGTTGTTTTGGTGAAAAAAACATTGTTTGTATGTTTGGGTCAGTGATTGCGGCTAGCTAAGTTTAAAGTTAAGACAGAAGATGACCATCCTTGCCCCTTTCCCCATTTCGGCCTTGTGCCACATTTGTACATAGTACAATAAATAATTACAAGGAAACAGAAGAAGGCATCCATGTTGGCAGGTAAGTCACTTGACTTCTACAATCTTGTGTTAATCGATGAAAATCAGGTTTTAGAAGAGATTACAAAAACAACAAAATTTATTAAGAGCTAAAAAGATGACATTATGCATAGACATGATCGCCAACGTCCTGAGAAGACATAGAACAAGGTAATATAAATATTTGAAAGAATATTC